TATAATGTGATCAGATAAGGGATCTCGTCTGGGGCGAGATCCTCGGGAATCAGTTATGATTCACTTAAATACCGAGCTGATGTCGCGTGGTGCGTGTCCGAGGTCGGCTTACGTTATTGTACCGAGCTCGGAGCTCGGTTACGCAGTACGGATAGTACATTAATTATTTTTTTTAACTTTAATTGCTTCTAAATGAAGGAAAAGAAGTAAGAAAACATGAAATCTTGAAACCCTTCATTGAGTCATATCTAACAAATTATGAGAAACAATCCCACACTCTAGTGAATAAATTTTTATCAATACCATAGTACTTGGCTCAACCATGGGTTTGATAGTAACACATGGTCGTTATGAATTCGCACCTCTTCGCTTCTCACTTTGCTCACTTTCCGCTTTCAGCTTCTTGCGTACGCTGTTCCTCTCATTTTTCTGCTTGTCTTCCGTCTCCGTTTTCTCCGTTTCCGCTGTCGTTTCCGGTAACCCAGTAACTATTAGGGTTAATTTCTGAGGGAGAGTACCAGGTACTTCCTTTCTACAGTCTTCTTTTTCCTTCTTCCCCAACCTTCTTTAAGTCTTTCTTATCTTTTTCATGACTGGGGGAAGTAGCGCCGGTTCTTCTGCGCCTTCTCGGGGCAAGGCGCGTGGTAAGGCGGTGGCTACCGGGAAAGCCGCCTTCGAAAAGAGGGATGTAGGCATTCCTGGCTATGACTGGGTCAAGTGCGAGGTGGGGGGCGTCCAAAGTGTCTTTCAGACCTTTCTTGAGGTCAATAGGATTGTCAGGTTGTGCAAGGTTTGCGACCCTTCTATCTCCCGAATGATCCGGCTTGAACCCTGTCAGGCTGGTGAGGGTGTGTACATGGGGAAGTCTACCGATTCTCCCCATTTCTATATGTACTATTATTTCTTTAGGGATTTAGGCGTCTGTCTTCCTTTCACTCAGTTTGAGTGTGATTTTTTGAACCATGTCAACGCGGCTCCTTGCCAGTTACACCCCAATAGTTGGGTTTTTTTTAGGGTTTTTCAAGTCTTGTGTACAGTTTTAGGGATAAAGGTATCCCTTCCTGTCTTTCTTCATTTTTATCAGTTGAAGTTAGGCGTTCCGCCATATGGCATTCTGTCCTTGAGTGGGAGTAGGGATGGGGGTTTGTTTACCCTCTACTCCCAGTCATATAAAAATTTCAAGCAAGAGTTTTTCCGGGTTGCTCTTGTGAATGTTGACCCTTTGGAGGATGGGGCATTTTATTTCAGCGGGCTGCCGAAATTCCCTTTCTACTGGTGCCCCAAACCGTCTAGGTTTCATGGGGTAGGCCAGGTGAAATTGACGGCCTCGGAGGTGGCGCTATCGACAACCTCGCTGCACTTCCTCGCCTGCTGGATTGCAAGCTCGTTCTGTCACTTGCGAACTTGGCATACAGGGAGAGGGGCTTGGAGAGTGAGTATTTTGTTTGTTTTTTGGTGGCTTGGGGAAGAATTTGTGGCGCGAGCTCAAACATCGCTACAATGTCACAAAACTCGAGGTCCCCGAGCCTCAAGAGGAGGATGTTCCCCCTCTAAAGGCCAGCCGAAAGAGGAAGAGGGGAGCAAGGGAGGTCGGGGGGACCTCTGCCCCTGCGGACGCCGAGGAGGTGACCTCCACGGCCGCTGATGCGAGTGCGGTTGACCTTACTGAGAGTCCACCGCCTAAGGAGGCCCCTCGGGTGGCCTTTGAGGAGGTGGTTCGGGCTGCCGAAGTGGCGATTCCGGCCACTGAGCAGGTCACCCAGGCTGCCGAAGTGGTGAGAACCCTGTTACTGTTACTTTTTTAATGTCGTTCATTGTGTTTTTCTGTGTTCTGACCTGGGGCCGTCTTTCGCAGGCGGGAGACACCGTCGAGGCGGCGACGCAGGGTGCTGGGTGGGCCGCCCAATCTGCCGAGGTGGCGGTTCCGGCCACCGAGCAGGTTGCTCTTGCTGCTGAGGTAAGTAGTATTCTCTGACTTTCATGGTTTCCTGTTTGTCATCTTATTTCTTTTTTGACATGGGGCTGGTTTTTGCAGGTGAGGTCGGAGGTTCCCTTGTCCCCCGCTGCAGCTTCGGCGCCGCCGGCTGGCTCGTCACAGGGGCTTCCCGGAGTCGATACTTGGCTCATCGCTTCGGGAAGGGCCTTCCGAACGTGCGGCTAGACCATGTGAGCGCCTCAGCTGACATGGACTCCCTGTGGAGCTCGGGGGTGACCGCTGAGAAGTTCTTCCCTCAAGGTTCGTTGAGCTCCGAGGACCAGGGGCTGATAGAGGAGGTCGGCACCGAGGATAGTTTTGATGCTGCTCAGGTCCTGCTGCAGAGAGCTATGGGCATCTTAGGCCACTAGAAGCCGAGATGGGCCAAGCAGCAGGAGGACCTGGCCAAGCAGCAAGAGGAGCTAGCCAAGTTGAGGGGTCGACTTCAACCCTGGAAGGATGCAAATAAGATCCTGAGGGAGGAGAACAAGGCTCTCAGTGTTGCTGTTGGCGAGGCGAAGCGGCAGGAGGCGGAGCTTCGGTCTTCGCGGGGCGATCTTGCAAGGGTGCAGAAGTCTCTTGAGATCGCTTTACGATCCAACGAGGCTTATGCTTCCCAGGTGGGGGAGTTGCAAGAGCTCGTCGCCTTCTCTTGGGGTCGCGTTCGTTCTTTGAGGATGAGGTCACGTCTTCTCGCAGCCAAGTGCGGGCTCTGGAGGACGTTGTGATCTCTCTTAAGGGGGAGTTGGCGGCGGCGGCTGAGGAGCGCCTCCGTAGCGTGGTCATTCTTGGTGGCCGTGAGGACGAAATTGCCACCTTGAAGGCGGAGCTCGCGGAGCTGGCGGCGGGGAAAGCGGCCACGGAGAAGAGGCTTGCGGAGGTCGAACGCTCCGTTGTGATGGAGCATAAGAGGGGCTTTCAGAAAGCTGCTCGTCAGGCACGTCTCCTGGCTCCCGGGTTCGACTTCTCCTCCATGCATGTGGAAAAGGTCGTCCGCTTTGGGAGGCTGGTCAAGGAGGATGATGTCGATGACAATTCGAGTGGGAATGCCTCAGCCTAGGCCATTTTTGTTGTCTTTTTTTTGTTTTATGTTTCCTTTTCCTGACTTTATGTATTGAACCTTGGAAACTTTGCGTCTAATGTATATATGTGTTTTTCTTCATCTGCGACTTCGTCTGATTTTGGACACTTCCGTGTTTTGAGACATATGTTTGATGTCCCTAGTGTGCTTTGGATTCGGCCTAAGTTTGAGTGGCCCATTAAGAGTCCGCACTCGTCGTTAGATTAATTAGGTTTTGTATTCGATCTTTAGGTGAGGGTGTCGGGGTTCGAGTTCGACCTCAACTTTGAGGGAAACGATTGAGTTGCGCTTGTGCTCGATTTTCGTTGTGTATGCATTCTGATATCTGTTTTCTTAAACTTTCATGAGGGTTCAGGTTTGACCTTGATAGCACGAGGTTCGGACTTCGACCTTAGGTTTTCGTGGAGGTTCAAGTTTGACCTCCAATTTCAAACGATTGAGTTGGGGTTCGTACTCGACCCAAATTTTGAGTGAAACGATTTGATTAAGGTTCGATGTTAGGGTTCGTGTTCGACCTTGTAGTTTTGGCGAGGTTCGTACTCGACCTCAATTTTGGATGTTGCGGTTCGTACTAGACCTCATATGTTAAGGTTCGTACTCGACCTTAAGTTTGAATGAAATGATTTAATCTAGGGTTCGAACTTGACCCTTAAGTGAGAATATCGAGGTTCGGATTCGTCCTCACGTCCGAGTGAGGTGATTTGGTTGAGGTTCAGATTCGACCTTTAACGAGAGCGTCCAGGTTCCTGTTTGGCTCCGGATGGTGAGGTTCGTATCCGACCTTGGATGATGAGGTTCAAACTCGATCAACGGTTTGGATGAAACGACTTTACCGAGGTTCGACCCCGACCTTAAGTAAGGGTATTGAGGTCCTTTTTTGACCTCGATCTTTTGGTGGGGTTTAGACTCGACCTTTGTTGAGCGAGCTTAAGGTTCGCACTTTGCCTTAAATAAATGTCTTAGGGTTCGTATTCGCCCTCGGATTCGAGTGTTTAGGGTTCGTATTCGATCTCGTAGTTTTAGGGAGGTTCGGGCTCGACCTCGAATTTCTGTTTGGGTGAGTGTTTCTGTGAAGGTTCGATGACCTTGGTTTATTAGCGCCGAGGTTCTGAGTCGACCTCAAACCGGAGTATAGTGAATTGCGTCACCAGGCAAACTCGTACGTTAAGTAGGACGTTGTAGGGGTTCGAATTCTTTCTTGGATAAGTGGTCCGTATTTGTCTTCAAATTTATACATTTCACCGAGGTTCGAACACGTTCTTGGGTTTAGAGTGGTGTGCATTTCATCAACGTTTGTGTTCGACCTTGAAAGAGCGTACAGGGGTTCGAAGTCGTCCCCAAGTTGAAGTAGAGTGAATGGTACTAGGATTCAAACTCGACCTTGGGCGAGAACATCGAGATTCAGACTCAACCTCAACTTTGCATTCTGGAGGGTTGACCCGACCTCGGATTTCGAGGTATATGATTTAATTTAAGGTTCGTACTCGACCTTAGGCGAGTATGTCGAGGTTCGGACTCGTCCTCGGAATTAGCGTATTTGAGGTTCGTACTCGACCTCCAGTTTGATTAGAACGATTCAATCGAGGTTCGGATTCGACCTCAGATTCGAGTGATTTGGTTAAGGTTCGGATTCGACCTTTAATGGAAGTGTCGAGGTTCGTATTCGACCTCAGATTTTGCGAATTGATTTGGTTAAGGTTCGGATTCGACCTTTAATGGAAGTGTCGAGGTTCGTATTCGACCTCAGATTTTGCGAATTGATTTGGTTAAGGTTCGGACTCGACCTTTGGATAAACAGGAAAAATAAGAATATGAGATGAGCGAAAGGAGTAATATTATTTATGGTGTCTGTGTGCCTCATTAAAAACCCTCTCAGTCAAAGGCTGAGGCGGGGAAAAAGTGCACAAATTTGTTTATACTGAAAGATAAACAAGACTTGAAAACTTAAGGAGCTATGGTGGGGGGATTCCCCTCGCTTTGCTTGCTCGACGAGGAGATCTTCAGGCTCTCGACGTAGCATTGCCGAGCTGTTTCCTGATTAGCTTTGACGGCGATGATTTTACCGTCCTTGCCCGGGAATTTCATGTTGAGGTGTGGGGTTGACACTACTGCCCCGAGTTGATTCAAGGTTGGCCTCCCGATGATGATGTTGTAGGAAGTGTTGGCTTCCCCGAGGAGGTACCGGACCATGACCCGCCTTGTATCCGGTGGCGTTCCGAAAGTCGTCAGCAAGTCTACGTACCCCCGAGTGTGAACTCGCTCTCCTGCGAAGCCGACTAGGGGCTCCATGTAAGGTTGAATGAGGGAGTGGGGGACGTCTAGCTTGAGGAACGTAGGCCAGTACAGGACGTCGGCCGAGCTTCCCTGGTCAATGAGTGTTTTCTGCACTTTCGAGTTGGCTATTTCCACAACGATGACCATGGGGTCATCCTGGTTAGGGCTGACGCCGACGTAGTCTTTGTCGGAGAAGGAGATCGGCGGTGAGCTTTGGTGGAGGGCCGGGGTGGTAGAGTGGACGCAGTTGATGCTCCGCAGGTGTCTTCTTCGGGTCGAGCTGCTGGCGCCTCCTCCAGCAAAGCCACCTGCTATTGTGTTGATTACTCCCCGTAAGGGAGCCGATTCTGTCTCTTGGCTTATCTCGGCGCCGCCAGCATTTTGCCGGGAGCCCGGGTGTGATTCAGTGCGAGCTCCTGAACCTCGACCTCTGCCGCGTCCTCGACCTCCATAGCCGCCTCTATTACCCTGTTGTCGCTGGATGTACTGGCCGAGGTGGCCCGCTTGAATGAGCTCCTCGATGCGATCCCGGAGTGTGCGACACTCTTCCGTGGTGTGACCATGGTTCCTGTGGTACCGACAGTGCTTAGACTTGTCGGCGTTGTTGGGAGTGTGACCCGGCGGTGGGAGGGCGAGCAGATTGTTGTTGCTGGCTTCCTCTAGGATGTGTACCCTAGGTGCGTTCAGGGGAGTGTAGAAGTCATATCTCCCCCCTCTGTTTGCCTTAGTCGACTTCTTGAATTGGCTGTCGTTGTTGACTTTGATTTTGTCCTTATGCCCTTGTTCCGACTTTGCTAGAGCTTTCCCATGAACCTGGTTGCGGAAGGCGGAGTGCTCCTCCATCTGGATGTATCCTGCCGCGCGGGCGCGGAGCTGGGTCTCGGTAGAGACTGTCGACAAAGGGGCCAACTTTGAGGGCCATGAGCATGGAGTGCAGGGCGACTTCGGGGTTTAAGTTCCGGATCCTCACCGAGATGTTGGAGAAGCGCTCCATGAAGGTTCGCAGAGGTTCGTCATCATTCTGCCTGAGGTTGGCCAAAGTAGTGGAGGTTGTGTGGTGAGGTCGGCTGGTGGCGTATTGTGCCGTGAACCGCCGGATTAAGGTGCTAAAGCTGTCGATGGATTCGGCGGGTAACTGGGTGTACCAGTGGAGTGTGGCTCCTTTGAGCGAGGTAGGAAAAACCCTACACAGGATAGCATCACTATTAGTGTAGAGGTTTACCTGGGTCGTGTACAGGTCAATGTGCTCATCAGGGTCTGTCGTGTCGTCATAGCGGTCGAGATGGAGAGGCTTCCATCCACGGGGAATGGGGTCTCCATGATGCCGTCCACAAAAGGATGTCGGTGGAAGGTTTCGTGGCCTTCTGTGGCACGTGTGGATGCTCTGCTGACGTCTGGGCCCGGCTTGTGCGTCGATGCATGAGATCAGTGTGTGGCGAGTTGTGAAGTCGGTGCCCTAGTCGCAGTCCGGGATTGAGAGGCCGAGTGTGCCTCGTCTTCATGGATGTTGCTCCCATGAGGAGGGCGATCAGAGGGGTGTCGAGGGAGTTGGGCGCGAATGCGCTCGTTTTCTTCACGTAACGCTGCGAGGTCTGCTTCATTGGCTGTCCGTATTGCCGCTAGGTCGGCTTCGTGCGTGGCGCGCATGTTGCGCAGGTCAGTGTTATGCTGCTGTCGCATCTGTTCGACTTGGTCGATCAGTCTTCTCAAGGTTGCAGCGTCGCTGTCCATGGTGATTGAGTGTTCAGCGTCGTCTGTTACTCGTCTGCTATGGCTTCTGGTGAAAACCATACAGGTGGCCGATGAGAGCTGTCTTGATCGGCCCCACGGTGGGCGCCAAATGTTCTTACCGGAAATCTGCTGTAGAGCTGATCCGCCAGGTAAGATCGGTGAGCCTCCTTCACTGGTACGCTGATGCTCCAACATGGGGGTGGTACCTGCAAAAGAGACTTCGATGCTAAAGTTAGTGTTTGTGTGAATACTAGTCTCGTATAAGTAATGCACGTACCTTAGTGTGAATTAGGGTTGTCTTGGGCCTTGGGCCTGTGATAAGATATAATGTGATCAGATAAGGGATATCGTCTGGGGCGAGATCCTCGGGAATCAGTTATGATTCACTTAAATACCGAGCTGATGTCGCGTGGTGCGTGTCCGAGGTCGGCTTACGTTATGGTACCGAGCTCGGAGCTCGGTTACGCAGTACAGATAGTACATTAATTATTTTTTTTAACTTTAATTGCTTCTAAATGAAGGAAAAGAAGTAAGAAAACATGAAATCTTGAAACCCTTCATTGAGTCATATCTAACAAATTATGAGAAACAATTTTGGGCATTTTTCTTATTCCAGAACGGCCCGTTTCACTTTTGAAACGGCCCGTTCCGGGCAACCAATTGGGCCTCTGACCCAGCGATTTTGGGAGGAATAAATTTAAATTGAGTATAAAAATAATAAAAAAAAATGATTGTAAAAACTAAACTTAAATAACTTAGTTAAAAAATGACTATAATTAATAATTTAATGTAAAAAATTTTTAAAAAAATTTGAAAATAAATAATAAAATAAAATCCTTCCTTTATGAGTCCCAAACCCGTCCCGCCCCTTGCAAATAATTTTCGCTCTGTCTCCCGAAAAAATTAGGAGTCCGCCGCCCCTCTTAAGGTTAGGGTTTCAATTCCATTCCCAAATGTCTCTCTATTCTCTTCCTCACTCAATGTTTTTCTACTCCATTCTCTATTTTCTATTCTCTATTCTCTTTCTATTCCCAAATTTGCCTTCTTTGTTTTTACTTTCTTGCTCGTGTTACTCCTATTTTTTGCATTTTCACATTTTCTTTTCATTTTTGTTTGATTGCATTCCTGTGCTGTTATTGGGATGAACGTGTTTATGGAGTGAATATGTTGTGCTTTGTTTTCGCCATCCATGTTAGGTGCGTGTAGAGGTGGGTGTGGAAATGTTCCAGAAACATTTGGTTTGATTAGTTTTTTTATTTTTATTTTTTATTATGGTTGTTAATTGTTTGATAAAAGCCATATAATAAAGAAACTAATTTTTGATTAATTTCTTCGTTAGTTTTGTATTAGATAAATAATTAAAAATTAGAGTAAATTAGTTTTTGAGGATTAGAATTAGACTATATAAGTTAGTATAATGAAATAAGTTTAGTTAGACTAATTAATTAGACTGATTAGTTAGTGTAGTAATTAATTTGTTTACTCGATTAATTAATTATAGACTAAGTGAGTGAGTGTTAGTTAAGTGGGGCGTTTAAGTGCCATAAACTTTCTTAGTGCTGTGTTAATTCTCATAAAAATATTGAAGGCGCAGATTGTGATACTGTGATGGTTTTCTTTTGTCTTCCTCAAGTGTCATCAAGTTTTGAGGGTATTAGGCACTAAGAAAATTTATATATTAATATACTTTTACAAAATTTTATTTTTACTAACCCTTCAAGTGGAGCCCAGGCAACAGTTCTAATAGGAACTGTATCCGCACCAAAACAAAGCACGGGCTTTGAATCTGTAGATTGCAAATTTAGTAAATAAACAATAAAGCATAAACTTATTTTTCAATATAGCTACCTGCTCTAACAACCAAATAGGTAAACATGAGACACACATAAAGTAACAAAATTATTACCCTCGCATTTTGATGAAGAATTTGTACAAAATTTCCACAAAGCCACCTATATAAATATAAAGCAAATTATATTAAAAGTGATATATATTGTGAAAAAAGGGTTTCAGACAACAATATGCTGATATTTTAAAACAACAATGCTATTATGGAAAAAAAATTGAATGTTTTCTCCCTTTTCCTATTTGTTAAAAAGCAAGGTAAACATGAACTTAGAGAAGGTAAAATACAAATAATTGAACCTTTAGGGAATTATACCATTCCATCATGGCAGCCAGCAAGTAAATAGTCATGAGGCAGCTTAACTGACCACTCCACTGTCAGTGGAATGTTGTGAGATAAAACAATAGAGTAAATTAAATCACATAGCCAGGCTACTTGAAAGCATAAATTAAAAAGCATCATGTAAATTCAATAACATTTTGCAGCTGCATGAATTTAACCAGTAGAAGCCAACTAGTGGATAGCATGATTTGAACAAGCATACTTCTATTGATTTCAGCTTTTAGAATTCTCCACAATGAACAATGAGTAAATGATTGTAAACTGCAGGTTTTAATTTAGAAAAAAAAAACACTATCAACTAGAAAACAAATTTTATCGGTAACAATCTTCTAGGTGATGTTTTGAAAACTAAAGCAAAGGTTGAAAAGGTTGACTGGCAAGACCTCTATGACATAGTTTAGCCAATTAGATTTCTAGTTGAACCGGATATGTTTGAAGTGGAGACATGGTTCACAGTTTGACAGGTTCAACCCACTGGTTCGGTCTGGTTTTTAAAACATTACTAGGGGTTGACAACAATTGGATCATGTGGCAAGACCTTTATGACATAGTTCAGCCAATTAGATTTCCTTCTTCCTTATTATCCTCCAAAATCCTAATGAATGGAAAAATGATGCAGTTGATGTTGACAACTTTATTTAAATTCTTAAATATACAAAAGAGAACCATTTGGCCACTAAAATATTTCTTGCAAGGTATTGAATCATTCTCGCATATTTATGACATTGTAACCTTTCATGTATTGTTAAAGGTACAACCCCTGTGACTTAGACACCTTTGTTTCCTCTGCTGATCTAGAATCATTTTGCCACTTTAGATAGAAGTAAAATGACTTGCATCATTCATAGGTACATTCCTGCCGTGTTTCTGCACGTAATTCTTTGATGTCTAAATTTTGGATTAGATAGATAGTGAATTTTCACTATTCAACAGGGGAAATGATAATTTTGGGAAAGTGGTTGGGGGAGGTTAGACTTTTGTGTATCATTATTTAAGTAGATTTTTAAAAAGTTGCTTTTATGCATCCATTTTGAACTTCTTTGTCTGAGGAAATTTTAGTTACAACTTCTAAAGCTGTTGTGTGCACCATCTTGGATCTTCATTGTTATCCATTTTGGACTAGTCTTGTTTTGATGCATAAATGATACATCAATCTTAATGTTGTTTTATCCCCTGTAAATTCAGCTGGACTCATTTCTTCTTTGTTTAATTGTGTAACTTAGCAATTTCTATATTTTGTGCTATCTTTTGTGTCTAATGAAATCGTTGCTGGTAGTAAAGGATATATACTCTCCAATTTGACAGCTGAATTCTGCATTCTCTAACGATAGGGGACATCACATTCTTGTTGCATATCTTAGCTTCAGTAGAATTGTTGTGGTTTGTTTATATATCCTGTGATGCAGGATGTGCAGGGTTATAAGAGTAAGGAGCTTGCTGTCGCATCAACACTTGAGGATGATGTTAGTTTTTATCAAATTGTGAATCCTAATGTGGCAAACCTTTTCCATATTGATCCAGAAGTCAAATGCCTATCCAAACATTACCGATACCATAGAAACTATGGTCACACAACCGAGGAATGTCGCACACTCAGAGACCGCATTGAGGAACTCGTCCAAGGAGGGCACCTCGGACAATACGTCCAACAGAAGCAATCTCACAGAGGAGGCTACCACAGAAGAGGACGAGGACAAGGTCGAGTTTCCGGGACTCGAACAGACCAACCCTCCGGGTCTTAACAAAACACCGGTGGAGCAGTACAGGCCGAGGTAAGTCATGACACAGAAACGACTCCACTACGCGGAGTCATCAATACAATTGCAGGTGACTTTGTAGGGGGAAGCTCCAGTAGCTCGACGAGCAAAAGACACTTGTAGAGCATCAACAATGTCCATACTGCCACCTCGGTCCCGCACCACAACACACCACCCATCACCTTCACGGACGACGACTACACTGGCATCTGTCCAAACCAGGATGATCCCATGGTCATCGCAGTGGAAGTAGTTAATTGGGAGGTCCACAAGACATTGATCAACCAGGGAAGCTCGGCTGTCGTCCTATACTGGCCGACGTTCCTAAGGTTAGACATTCCTCACTCCCTCATCCAACCTCACACAGAACCCCTAGTCGGTTTTGCAGGAGAGCGAGTCCACACCCGAGGATACATTTACCTACTAACAACCTTTGGGATACCTCTTGACTCAAGGAGAATCATGATCAGATATCTCCTCGTTGAGGCCAACACGTCGTACAATATCATCATCGGCAGGCCGACCCTGAACTGACTAGGAGCTGTGGTGTCTACCCCGCACCTGACAATGAAATTCCCAGGGAGCAATGACAAGAT